CCAAACGACTGAGGAATGCCTTGTCGCAAGAGGGTAAATAGTAAGTGAGCGAAAGAGTGATACCGCAGGTAGCAGTGGTACGATACAACTAGACAGCAATAGGGCTAGGGAGTGAGTGGGTGTGGGTTGGGAAGCTAAGGGAGAATGTAGCGGTTGTTTCGTTCAACGGCACATTGTAAAGTTTGTCGAGCCCGGCGCGTGAGCATTAGGCCCTAGTGGCGCGGGCCTGGATCCAGGGCCAATACCTGCTCAGTGTGCTCCTTCTGGATGAATTGGGGTGGGTCGATTTGTTTGCCTGAACGTATAACGACCGATTAGTGACGTCTAGGTCATTGATTTTATATTGATACTTACTGGGGACGTCCCGTTTAGGATGTCGTCTGTGTATGCAAGTAGCTTGTTCATTGGCACTGCTGACCCATCGAACCTTTCGAGATAGTATTAAGGTGTGTCTAGGCATGTTTCCAATGTGATTTATTTTCACACAGCCGCGCCGTGCAGCGAACTGGCTCGTGTGAAGTGCCCACGAACGTTGAATCTACCCGGGCCTCCAAAGTGCCATCTCATACCATGCCCTCTGCTTTGTCAAACACTTGTAGTCCCCTTGACGTCTGTGAGAACGCAAGCATTTTAATTGATGACCTTTACGTTACACAGCACAGATATATTACTTACATGGTGAGCCTGATACAGTAGATGTTGTCACGAAAAATTTCACACTGCCAGCAGTAATGTATTGTTTTGGACTAGACATAGGCTAGACGTTCAAATAATCTAGTTTACACCATACACGTGCGGGATCCAGCTACAGGTTTTGTTTTTTCGTATTATAGCATGCCTATCCGTGGTTTGACTGCCAATTTTTGCCAGTTATTACCTTACATGGAGGACACAATTAGTATCCTAAATGATAATTAGCCTGAGGCGCATTTAGTCCTTTGCTTGATGGATAGTTCGTAGTTCGTGCAAATTAGATGCAAGTTGTTAAATGCATTTGCGAGGAACACTTCACATAGATGGACAGCAGTAACAAACTTATTCCTCAGAGAAGAAAAAAAACAGGAGAATGGAGGTGAACATGCATTTATATTTTTTCAGCGTGCCTCTATCGGAATGAATAACAAAAGTGTTATTATGTTGTGGTGTGAAGTGCTTTTCCGCTATTCGTTTCGATAAAGGCATGCTGCAGAAATATGAACGCACCTACATCTCAATGTTTCTTATTTTTCTCAAAGGAAAAAGACATTACTGCTGTCTTATCTATGCAAAATTGATGCATTCTGAGCGGTTAAAGCGGCTCAATCAAGCGGGTAAGCCTTGAAAACACCTCTGAGATGTGATCCTTGGCAACGTGCCATAAATCGTGCATTAAAGGAGCATATACACGCACACACACGTGTGCATATATATATATATATATATATATATATATATATATATATATATATATACATATACGTATTGGTATACCTTGGCGGAATATCTTCCTTTATGTGTATTTGATGGAAAAAACGTCGCTAATTGCACATTAGCAAGGTTCTTGATGTATCGTTTGGGATTTCGGGCTTTCGACCTGGTAGCAGCCTAAAGATAAACTATTGCTCGTACAAAATCACTCATATATCTGTTGCTCTGTCTCTATATATATTCTAACGTTTTGAGACATCATCCCAATGTTGGAGAAATATGATTGGCAAAATTAATAAGTTTTGAGATTTTAAGGATGAAAGTTTTGCATCGTTATCTTATGAACATTCTATTTGCGGAGAGGACAACAAGTTGTGTCGTTACTCGGATGCGTATAGAATGCATCCGTAATGAAAACACTGCAAAAACACATAGCCACAATCACATGTACAGTAGCCACCGCCCACCACCTAACAGGTCAAGAGTTGTTCAAGACTTTACTGGTTTGTTTAGGTCTGAAGATAATTCATTGTTGAATATACTTTCCCAGATTTAAAGGTGTCTTCCGTCATGAGCGTCTGAAGAACGTCATTGTTGTCCGTCAGTTGTGTTTATGCCGTGTCATGTGTGTGTGGCATGTGCTCCAGAGGTGCTCCGTCGCGTAAGTGCATCATCAGACGTCATGAGAGTGTCGTTGTGGTTATGTGGTTACACCAATGTAGTATACGAAACGAAGTTTGCAGTTGTCAACATTACATTGAAATTGATACAGTACATTGGTGAATTTAAGCTTGTCCGGCTTGTCAGGGATGTTTCTCATAAGAAAGGTGGAGATTTTTCCCTTGCGGTACTAAGCTACAATGTCTATTTTGTGGTTGTTCTTGCCTTTTTATCTCGAAAGATGAATTCCTGTTGAATTTTTATCTTATTTAAACGCAGATGTCATCCGATTTTGTTAATACGGTTGGGCGCTTGGTTGTCTTGTCCTAATTTATTGTCAAAGTGTCTTGTCATATGCCGTGTTTTGTTTTCAACGTCAGAATTTAAAATACCTTTCTTCAGCAATATCTGCCTGATTCATTTGAATTCTGGATGAAATCCTGTTCAATCAGAACAATGTTTAAATGCGGGTCTGAGGAATAATCTTATGACGTTAATTTTGTAGCATTTAGGACATTTACTGTCAGCATTTAAGCACCGTCCGTTGTTAGTTTGCTTTCGGTATACAGTCGTTCTAAGTTATGGTTCTTGACCATCTAAAGTCACGTCAAGAAAGGGTATTACAATCTGTACACTTGTTCTCTTGTGAATATTTCGCCAAGTCGCTCTTCAAAGCTATTTTTGAGACGTTCTAGTTGAAACATTACAAAATGAAGGCATACGACCTAACATTTTCAATCGTTATGTGGATGATATCTTGCTGGAAGTTAGGGAAACTTACCAACTAGAACATGAATGACAGTTTTTTATTCCGACGTTGAAAACGAAGTACAACGACATACGAGAAGGTACTTTGATAATAAATCAAGATCGATAAAAAACAACCATCAAACTGTATTATCAAAATCAAATAACATCTCCTAACAAACAGAAGACGAAAAATCTACGAACAAACAAGACGAAAGAACTGTTCGAGAACTCGTCTTTTGACATGTAAAAGGCAAGAACGACCACAGAATGACATCATCAGTTATTAACGCGACAGGAAAGTCTTGAACTTTTTTATGAGAGCCAGCGCTGAAAAATCAGACGAGCTGAAATGCACCAATTGAGTTAATAATTTGAAATGTAATCTTGAAGACTGCAAACTTTGTTCTGACCACAACATTGGCGTAACGACGACACTCTCACGACGTCTGACGATACACTTGCACGACGGGCATCTCATTAGCACAGCGACACGAACATGACAGGAGATCAACACAACTGACGGACAGCACTGACATTCCTCAGACGTACAGTGTCAGAAGACGCCTTCAAACTTGAGAAAACATATTTGTGAATGAATTCTCTTCAGCTCTGGGCAAGCAAACAAACTTAAACACAATTTTTGAGCTATTGGGTAGTAGGCGATAGGTGCTGTATGCGTGACTGCGGCCATGTGTCTTTGTGGTGTAGTCATCACGGGTGCATTTTGGACGCATCCAAGTACTGATAGGAACTTTTGCCTCCCCGTACTAAGAGATGCTCTAAACATAGCGATCTACAGCTCTCATCCTGAAGAGCCCAAAACATTTTACTTCTCTCATTTTATGTTTCAAACGATGAGATAAGCCCTCGAAATGTTAGAATGTAGAGATATTGGCGACTACGTGTGTGATTTTATACGAACAATCTTTTATCTTAACGATATGACTAGGTCGAAAGCACGGAACTTCAAAGGATTCATCTAGAAGCTTGCTAGTGTGAAATCAGCTTTCTTTTTTAACTGAGCAGGCATATACATATATATATATATATATATATATATATATATATATATATATATATATGAAGATTCTAAGTGAGTTGCCACAAAGACGCCATTTATTAAAAATAACATCTTATTCCCGCTTTAATAAACCTTTGCCTGGCATTTCCTTTTCTGAAAGAATCTTCGTGTTAGGTTCATTTTCGTGAATGATGTCTTCAATCAATACCATGATAGCTGACGTAAATGATGCTACAATTATCAACATCGAAGCTAAGGGTTTGTTTGCTTAATCACTCTTAAATTATTTCAATTTAGACGATGTTGCTGATCTGAAGTACGTGCAGAAAAGTCGAGTCTGCGGGGAGTCTAATATCCGGTCCGTTACCATTGCTGTCAAGGTGTATCATTATATGATGCTGGTCATGTTAAGCCGTGCCCTGGCGTCGAGCTGCTCCTTCTGCTGCTGGCTGCTGCCTTTGAGGTTCCGGTATGAAGAAGTGATGCCCATGCGGAAGTTGGTGTCTTAAATCGTGGGACAAGGGAATGCCAAATGCTAACCTCGAGTGCTCCATCTGTCTCTTCATGAGTGATGTGGCATTCGCGGCCGTGGCAGAAAACGTCGGGTTATATTTCTGAGGGTCTTTGTGCTCCAGGACACTGCCATAGCCATGTTTGAATATGTTGTTACGCATGATACGTTCCGAATGTGAGCAGCTTGCCATTGCACCAGCTTTTCACCGCAGCTGTCCATGTGCGCAGTAGCGTGCTTGACATGAGGCTCAGGGGCAAAACATGGTCGAGGCGGACGCAAGCGTCACTATGTGCACTTTCCGAAGTTCGAGCCGTACCTGTTCCTGCTCCGGTGAATTAGTGAGACAGCAGGATCCTTACCCGGTTTCAGGGAACATGTAGAATTTCCAAGGCCGTTTGATATGTGAGCACGCGACAACGTTTCAAGCAAACCACGGACGATGGCATGCGACGGCAGATCCGTGCAGTGAGGTGGAGTGGACCTCTGCAGCGGCGGCAGATTCGTGCAGTGAAGTGGAGTGGACCTCTGCAACAGCAGTTAGTCCGTGCAGTGAGACGGAGTGGACCTCTGCAGCGGCGGCAGATTCGTGCAGGGAGGTGGAGTGGACCTCTGCAGCGGCGGTTGGGCTGGTCAGAGGCGCTGCCGACCCGCCACCAGTCGGGCCGGCCGGTCGGCCAGCTTCGCCCGTCCGCGGCTGCACCCTCCCGTGGTACGTGTGGGAGCGCCGGACCAGCTCGCTGAACACGTGGCGCACCGCGGCGCATTGCGCCCGCTGCCCCAGTGTCCGCCGAGGGAGAACCCCTGGCGTTCGTCCTGTGGGGCAGAGGGCCAGCGCGTGAAGGGTGGTGGGAGCGCCGGCGGTGCTTGCCGCCCCGTGCGAACCGATGGGACGGTGGCCTGCGACGCGCTTAGGGCGGAGCGATGTGCACCACCATCTCGACGGTGGGCAGCGCGTTCGATGTGGACCTCGTGCTGCACCTGTGCCACCTGCCGAACCGGACCCGGTGTCGTGACGCGATGGCCAGGTAGGTAGACGGAGGGAGAGGGAGAGAGATTGTGCGCACCTGATGGTGCCACTGCCACCTAGGGCACCCGGCTGGCCTTGGAGCGCCATTGCCGCCGGTCTGCTGCGCTGTCCGACTTCGGGCGCCGCTGGTCGCTGGAGTCAGTCAGTGGTCAGTGACTGATCGGTCCGCCGCCAAGCTAGTGTTGACAATTTGAAAAGCACGGTGCTGTAAAGTCAAAAGCTTTGTGTACCCACGTTTCTTGTTTATTTACCTCCGCCCGGCGGTATTTTAAGCTGTCAAATGCTTGTTAGATTTAAGCCTGTGTTGTTTAAGCATCTTGCTTCGTTTAAATGCATGTGGCTAGTTTTGACATTTGGAACACCTTTCATAGCCGTACTCGTACATTTGGTGTAAATGAATTGCAACAGTGGCAAGCAGACATATGTGCGTTGTTCCCAAAATGACTTCCGGGCTTGGATCCCTGAGCCGCGGATTCCAAACCTTCAGGATCTAGGATTCATTTTAAAAGCTTATCGAAGAGTTCTCTGAAATGTTGCATGTTTTCTTATAACTTTTCCGGAGTTGTCTCTGGGGTCTTGTATTTTCGTTGTGATTAACCAAAAGTTCCCTTAGGATCCAGCATAAGTTTTACACTCTGGTTAGGAATCTTCCAGGTTGTATCATGCAACGGCTTTGCAACTATTAAAAATCAAGTTGAATGATGTTAGAGGCCAATATCAGTGTTATTGACAGTGTTGTGCGCCATAGAGTATTTTATAACCCATGTCCATAATGCATCGGTTCGCTAGCCGGCAGTGTGGTCAGAGCAGATGCGATACATGTGCTGGGCCTCCAGGGTTTGATGTCGTTCTGGGCATTACCGATCTTACCCGCTGTCAGGTGTTTAACGATGTCCTGCTTCGTTGCATGGGGCTTCCCTATGAAAGGTCGCGAGGAAGTGCAACGCTCATTCAAACGGAATGTTCCACATTTGAAGATTTTAAATGAAGCATCGCACGTGATGAAAAAGCCCACTTGTAACTTTTGGAACACTTTTTGTGCGTAAGACTGCGCTAGCTAGCAAACTTTTACCATTTAATGAATCTTTTCATCAATACGCCACCGTTTGATTACGTCATGGAACGTTTTTATGACGTCAGATTCGCTGTCAGACTGGTCGTGTCAGAATTGCTGCTGTAGCGGATGGGCTGACTCACTTGTAGTACTTCGACTCGCTGCAAGATGGCCTGTTAATTTATGTGTGTGATAAACCAGCCAACGTTATGTATGTGTTCTTTTGCCATTTCGCTTGGTGGCATTGTATATTTTTCCGTTAAGGCATGACTTTTACTTGCATTCTCAGGTGCGGCACTATTCCAAATTTATTTGATCCTCACCCCCATTTCCATCACAACTAATATAAGTGCCTGTATACCTGCAATACGTATCACAAAACGCGGCTCGTGTTCTGAGACTGCATTTAACACGTTAAGTTGGTTGACATTTAACCGCTGCCCGCCGATGCAACGATATTTGCTGATGCACTCCACACACGAATAATTCAATGGCCATATTTTGTTTTGTCTTGAACTCAACAGGGCAATGCAGGAGGCAGAAGCCGCGTGATGCATACAGTGGCATCATACATCTCTGGGGACATCCAATCAGGCGGTGTGGAAACAGCCCGCACAAGTCTACGTGCGCCTAGCTCAGAGACGAGATGATTTGAAGTCTTCAAAGGCCATGACTGTGAATTGCAGGAATGACCTTGAAAACAATTATCTGAGCTCCAAACCCCATACAAATATGGGGCATGACCAGCACGGAGCCACTCAGAGCGCCACTGCTCGAGTGGTGCCGCTGGTGCCACCGCTAATCGCCGGTCGTCTCTGCCGTGGTGGTGAGCGCTGGTGGGCGGGTGAGGGGGAGTGGGGTCGCCGCGCGGTCGGCGCCCCTCCCCGACGGTCGCGCCGCCACCATTGATTGCTGCCGGCCGTCACTAAGCTACAGGCCGCCGGGCCGCGTCGCACGTACCAAATCAATGGGCGCACCGCACCGGCTCACCGGCAGCGGGCGCACTCTTTGTCGGCGGCGTCCTCAAAGGCGGCGGCCGCGCCGTGCTGACCCGGGCTCATGGCCAGACGACGCAAGAAGAAAAATGGTGGATACAAGTAAGAGAACTGCTGGTGCGCGGTAGATTTCGGATCAGGGAGGTGGCAGTGACGCGCTGAGCCAAGGCAGTTGGTGGTGAGGCATTTCGGTCAATGGTGTGTGCTGCTTGGTGCTATTTTTCATTCGTTTGTTTACGAATGTGATTTATTGACATACAGTGTGTGTGTGTGTGTGTGTGTGTGTGTGTGTGTGTGTGTGTGTGTGTGTGTGTGTGTGTGTGTGTGTGTGTGTGTGTGTGTGTGTGTGTGTGTGTGTGTGCGTGTGTGTTTGTTTGTTTGTGCGTGTGTTTGTGTTCGTGCGGCCGTGCGTGCGTGCGTGCGTGCGTGCGTGTGTGTGTGCATGCGTCCGTCCGTTCGTCCTTCCCTACGTGCGTGCGTCCGTGTGTCCATGTGTTTTTGGAGGGTCGACGAGGATGATGGCGTACAAATGTATGCTCACTGTACATTGGACGCACTGTCAACTATGTCACTTCACGTATTTTGATTGCCAGCGTTTCAAGTAAAATTAAAAAGCTTACGAATAACAAACCGAATAAAACAGGACAAAGGTGGCGTTTCCTCACACAAAATTATTGTATTATGTGTAAGTTACTTGTGAACGAAAATTTGACGAATGTTTTTGACTTGAAATGACATGTTCTTTCAAAATTGAAATCAACTGGTCCTGAAACATGATAGGCATGCTGGTATATTGGCACTTTACTAATGTGTCGCCCGAAACCTGCCGAATTTCGTGATATTTTAAGAAAGCTTATATTATCAAGCCTACCAAAAGAGCATCAGTAAGCAGTACTCACATATTTCGATACTATTCCCTCATCTGGGCGAGAATTCTTCCATTAGTTAACATTGTTATCTTCTGCGTTCATGTGGTATGTATGTGCTTAACTACTGTTATGGTGTTGAATGTTGGAGTGCTGTGTGTGGCTTTCGGTGAACAGCTCGCGACAAAAGACATTTGGCACCGTTGTGGTACTGAGCTTGTCAAAATATAGGCTCATAGCTATATATATATATATATATATATATATATATATATATATATATATATATATATATATATATATATATATGCCCACAGCCCAGTTTTGCAGCTTCACATATCTCCTACATGGTGAATGGGGATATATTTGGTTGTGGAAATGAGGAAATTCGTCTGAACAGAGTTATATCCCACTCCCGACCAACCGCATTCCACCACTGACCACGGCCGCACTCCGCTCCTGGCCACCGCCGTACCCCTCCCCTGACCACGGCTGCACTCCGTTCCTGGCCACCGCCGTACTCGGCCCCTAACCACGGCCGCACTCCTCCCCTGACCACAGCGGTACTCCGCCCCTGACCACGGCTGCACTCCGTTCCTGGCCACCGCTGTGCTCGGCCCCTGACCACAGCGGTGCACATGCCGTCTCTCCCTGACCACAGCCGTACTCCTCCTGGCCACTGGTACTCGCCCCGCCGAGTACTCTCCCCAGTACAGACGTACTCCTCCCTGACCAGCCGTACTCTGTCCCCGAACAGCGACTCGTACTCCTCCCCAGGTCACAGCCGTACTCCGCTCCTGAACACAGCCGTACTCCGTCCCCGATCACAGCGGTACTCCGTCCCTGATCACAGCCGTACTCCTCCCCAGGTCACAGCCGTACTCCGCCCCTGAACACAGCCGTACTCTGTCCCTGATCACAGCCGCACTCCTCCCCTGAACACAGCCCGTACTCCGCCATTGAACACAGCCGTTACTCCGCCCCTGGCTGACCGAAACGGGTTCATACCTTGGCCATGCCGTTGCCCGGCATTCCCGGCCATTAGCGGCATAACAACGCGCCGGTTCCGGCGGACGGCAAGGACCGGCCCGAACGGTCCGACACTTCCGGCATCGGTGGCAGCGGGGGGGGGGGGGGGGGGGAAGCGGTGGGCTCCGCTGCTACGGGTCACTGCAACCACGTGTCACGACCGCACATCGACCCGCACCTGCGGAGGCCGTCCGTGAATGTTTCACTGAGCGGCGTGGGGAGCGTGGCTTACTGCGTGCCTGGGCGGCTCCGTAGCCAACGATCGTGGTGCACGGAGTTCCGGGACTGCCGTGTCGTGTATCTAGCCGGCCCCGGCAGACACATCTCAAGGCTCGTGGGTATTGCGCCAACTGGCAGGCAAGACACTCGTCGGCAGCAAACGAAGCATTTCTACCCGGTCTTGTGCTGGCCTTGATTGGAGGAGTTGATTGGGCACGTGTAGACTGTATGTTGAAGGGAATGTTCCACAATTGGAAATATTGAAATAAGCATCAGATATGACAGTAAAAGCGTACTTGCAACTAATGGTAAAGTTGCAAGGTCTAAAAACGACCCTGAGTGGTAAAATTTCAAAGTTTGTGAAAGTGCACCCCATGACGTCATTGTTTGATGACGCCATTCAACAGTTTTGTGACGACGGCAATACCTAGCAGCATCTGGCAGCCAGACCTAAAGAATACTTTGAAAAAGTTTAAAAGAAAAAAAGAAAGGAAAAGCACGAGAGCTGACGCCAACCGGCCATTCTCGTCGCGGGCACTGCGTTGCGTGGCAGATTAGCAGTGAATGGCTTGTTTATGGATTTTGTGTTTTGGTACTGGTCGAAAGGGAAGCTTTGGTGGGCTGTTTGACATACGCAGCGTAGCGATCGCCAGCTTTGATGGTAGCTTACTAATAACAATGCACGATATGCTGTGAAGGCTGTCATATGGCGTCATGAGTCTTTCGCCGAAACCTTCCAAGGACTGCTGAGGATGTCAGTATTTGTTGTCGACTTATCCTTGCCTATAAGGGTGTAGTCCTGACATTGATATCCTGAGATGTGCACAGTAGTTACTTTTTTGGTTATTTGTAAATGGAAATGCTGTTGCATGCAAAGGTTAATAAATATGTAACATCGCTCTGAATTGATTGCCAAGGCATTGCTATTTCTGTGGTGAAGATGGTAAGCTTGGGCTACCAATAATATTTTTCTTCCTTATGGCTAGTTATGCAAGCACAAGTGAACCTTGATATAATCATTGTGGTGCCACAGCGTTCTTGCTGGTAACTGTCCTTTGACGTTGTGAAATCAGTTGTTACCAGTCATTCACAAATTATAAGCTGTCATCTCATAGGCTTGACATAGAGCAGTCAACCAATGTGGTACATTGTGTATTGGCACGGGTCAACAGTGTCATCGTGGCACTACCTCAGTGCCGTACTGTGGCGTGGCATAATGAACAATGATACGGTTTTGTACCGCAATCCCCGCTGCTTTCATAATGAACTCCATCATGTAAAGATGGGTCAAGCATGCATTGTCGTATTAACTGCGCACCTGGCATATGACTAACTAAAAAAACACGATGCAATATACATATCATTTTCAGCAATGCACACAATAAGTGGCGTCAATTGTGCATCTTGTTTTGGTAATCCACAAAGCATAGGTGACAAAGATGCAATCACGTCTTCTGCTTCCGCAGCCATGCGACATGCAGGCATCAGGCTGCTTCACCCAAGGATATTGTTCACACAAGCAATAGCACATCTATAACGATGCAATGTTACAATGGAACTGCAAACCTGCTGAACTTGCACAACGTTGGAGACATGACAAGTGCATGTAGCCATGATTAGATGGGCAAAATGCAAGGAAGTGATGAAGCTTCCAGTGCAAATAATGCTCATGATAAAGATATTGCTAAGTGCTATCCAAGAAACCAACATCAATACTTTTCCACATTCCCCAGCACTGAGCATCTTATACAGGTTGCAGTGGCTATAACAATGATGACTCACCAGCAATGCCTGTCTGCATACAAAATTTGTTGACAGTGATATGTTCATCTATAATAATGCAGTACTATATTCTCAGAATTCTTAAAACGCGCTCGGGTGAGGGAAGGGGGTCAAATTGACTCCCCGCCCGAAGGTTTCCCCAGAATGGTTTGTTAACGTATAGCAACGGAGTGTTAGACGAAGCCATACATTCTAAGATGCTTTCTTAGGCACAACAACCATTGAGTACAACAACCAGGCTGCTAGCACGCACCACCAGTGATCACACCCATTTCAATCACCTGATTCACACTCTAATGTCAAATGAGTGCGATTACACACTTGCACAACCCGCGGGACCATGAAATTCCAGTTTTCTCTCGATTTCCGCACCGGTTTTCGGTTATAACACCGCATTTTACCGTGAGCTCCCTTCAAAACAAAGTCACAACGGGGTTTATGGTAATACAACTCAAGAGGTCGTATTGGTCGGACACAATTTCTTCGGTCACGATTTAAATTCATCCCACAATACGTGCTAAATATTTAATAAAATACATATCTCAAATTACTGTGATATTTCCCTAATTTTATAACTCCTTGCTAGCCCATAAACCCGTGCAATGTTATTTGCTCTGGTAAACAAGGCGCCAACCGAGCTGTCTGTAAAAAATACTCCACTAGAAGAGGAAGCAAGCCAGATGTGCTGTCGCGTCTTTCTTTTTAAAACATTAGGGAGGGTGGCGTTTTTCCGGTGCTGTACTTTTTTGTAGACAATGGCCTTCTTTTTTTATAACATTGACCTATGGTCTGGAAAGAAAGAAAAAATGCCCCGTTGGCGACGAGTGCGGCACAACTCGAAGGTGCTCACAATTGATAACGGTAATATAAGTAATAAGTAATATAACGGCATTCGTATGACGTTTCTATGAAGACTTCAATGCCAAGGTGACTTTGAAGTAGTTTCCCAATAAACCTTTTCGCACTTTTGCTGGAGTATAACTCAGGAACCAGAGGGTTTTGGGTCTTAAAATGGGCATATCCGTGAATTGCATCAAAAGGTCTTTAAGATGGCTATTTTAGTTGAAAGCCCCATGGAAGGTTGGAGCGTTTAAAGGTGCGGGCGTTTAAGTTTCAAAATGCAGGTTGTAATTGGACCGTAGGGAAGAGTTTTGGTACAACTGCAAGCTGGCAGGTAGTATACGGTTCTATATAAGTTGGTTTGCTTCATGACATGGTTCCCAGAAACGTAGGCATGCAGTTGACCTTTAATTTTCAATTTGCAATTCGTCATCAAGTTTTAGAGCGTAAGAACGGAGAATATACGGCGTCCGTTCGGCAGCTTCCATGTCGCATCTTGTCTCCATTTCTGACAGGAACCGTATAAAAGATTCTGAGGCACGGCCGGCGCAGCAGTTTGGGTTACAGGGGGGGGGGGAGGGGGGGGGGAGTAGGCCAGAGGAGGCAGTCGTCTCCTGTTTACCGGCGGAGAGGGGGGGGGAGGAGCGGTAAGTTTTGTCTCCTATTTTTTATGTGGCACCTTAGGGTAAAGAGGCACTCCCTGAGTTTGTGTGTGTGTGTGTGTGTGTGGTTATGTTTTTTCTAGGAGGCCCCATTTCTGTAGCAGGGGCCTCCTCCCTTTCATGTATCAGATGACCGCGGATCTGAGTTAAGGATGCCCTGTTTTGAGATAACGAGGTCCCTTGGCTATCTTATGGTGAATCGGAATCTGCTGTGCATAAGAATGCCCTTCTTTGCACTAGGAAACCTTTCTTTCTGGACCAAGTGGCCCTGTTTTAAGAACGCGAGACCCTTTGCTGGAGAATCGGAAGGTCCCATTCTGGGTTTTTTATTCGTCGACATTTATAGTTACTTGGATATGATGGATGAAACCGTTTTACATGGCAACGCATGTACTTGGTGCCCTCTCCCTTGAACGCGACACTGCCCGGGAGGAGGCCCCTGGGTCATACTGCCCCCCCCCCCTCCCCCCATCACAACTCAAAGTTGATGGCCCCGCCCCTGATCTGAAGAGTTTCCAGTCCCGTTTTATGTGTACTCTACGGACATGTAAAGCAAAGCAAACTCAGATATAGGCCCAATAGTCCAGCGAACCCATTCGAACCACTGTGACGTATTGGGAAGAGAAAATGTGTTTTGACCACAATAAACTAAGGTGGGCGACACATAATTCTGCGGAAGTGCAAAGGGCATCTTTTGGAAAAGTCGTCTGATATCTTCAAGCAAACATTTTAAAAGTTTGATGCCCACTTGCCAAGCGCATTTTTGGGCCGTAGGCGCTAAATGAAGCGTTGCTGCGTTCGTCAGCCACTGCAGGCCTCATGCCATGTCATGCCGTGGCAACTAGTGTCTGATACCGAACAAAATGCGGCTCACCGGAAAAGAGGCTTGTTGTGGCGCCCGTCCCACAATATAGCCTACACTTTAGACAACCAACAAACCTCGGTTTTCGGTCACTTTTTTCCAAAAATCTCGAAATTTTCTTCTTTCATTCTTCAAATTTTCGCGGCTTGTTCGTTCACTGCCCTGCGTTATGCCTGCTACGCACTTGGTAACATCACGCTTAGTCGTAGCGTTGCTACCCTGTGGCTCAAAAAAATGAGCAGTGCATTGGGTTTTCTGGTCGTGAAGGCAATTTTTTTTTATAAACAATTTTTCGTCGTACTTAATGAATATATGATATTTCTGCTACACCCCATTGTTCAAAATATTTAAAAGCTAATCGTGCTATTGCATTGCTAGTGATGCACAGCACTATAACCACTTCCTGAAAACGCCAACAAATGGAAATATAACATTCTCAACAATCACTATCTGAATTTTAATGAGGATTTTTCAGAGTTGATAAGATGTCACCTGTGATGTTCATATCGCGTTCACTAGCCGCTGTGCTACGACTCGCACATCTAAGTCGATGCGAATTTTCAGGTCATTGCCGAAGGCAAATTTGCACGACGAGGACGGCAGCGGGGGTCGCCCGCAGGTGCAGGTCACCAACTTCGAGCCCATACCGCACGAACACGACTTCTGTGAGCGTGTCGTTATCAACGTGAGTACTGCATGTGAGGAGGATTGGCGACCTGGTATCAACCCTTTGTCCTGACCACAAATGTGATAACTGCTTTCATATTGGATAGGCCCTGGCAGAAGCCTGTGTCGGCAGGAGGTGGCTGGTGGTTGTCGATCGACGCTGCCCTTTAAATGAGTGTGGGGGGGGGGGGGGGCAGCGGGTAGAAGAACGGTGTGCAGTCAAACGTCATCTGACAAACGTTATCTGACAAACTTCATCTGTCAAACGCCACTCTTAAACTGGATCCCTTCCCACCTTTCACTTACCCCATACTGAAAGTTAAGCTTGGCCGCCAGCGTCAACGTTAGCGACAGCCGACAGGGCTGCCAAACGAGAGCCGATTAATCGGCATGGTTCATGCCTGATTAAGCATGCGTAAGGTCTTATTCATTACCATAATGATATCAGGGGCAAGCCATATCCATGACACTCGCGAATACCTTTTTGGTTGCATGGAGTGATGTGAATTCAAATAAACACTTGTTTGTTTTCGTGCAGTCCCGAAAAGTGTCCATATCGAACGCGTCTTCAGCCTTATCTGAAGCCAACGAGATGCCGGATATGGCACGGCTCAGAAGAATGATAACCAACATACGTGCTATCAGCAAGCAGCTGATGCAAAAAGCTAAGAGAACGGCGCCAGATGACTCTTGGAACTCGTACAAATATTGGTCCTACGAACGGTTGTGTGTTTGCTTCGGTAAGGAATTAATTGAGAGATAAGAATAAACTTCCCAGAGGAAAGGTGTCGTATAGTTGGAAAAATGTGTGCTGCTGCTTTCAGATGTGCACTTCATTATTTGCAGGTTTTGTGGCCGAAATGCACCGTCGGAAACGGTGTAGGGGTGTGGGGAGGAATTTGATGTGCAGGACCGCTGACACGTGAGCGTCAAAAGAGCGGAGGGGTGTGAACCTTATTGGCAGGTAATTTTTTCGTTGCAGCACGCGAGGCGAATCACTTCAGCTGATGAAGATCAGAGAGTGACCACTTCGTAGACATTCAGATAAACGTGTCTTTGATTTGAAAAGATGACACCACAAGCTGATGGAAATAGCGCTAACCCAATTCTGGAGCAGCCACCAACATGGCACACACAGAGTCCATTCAACGCAGCTATGCGTCGAAGTCGGTAGGAGACATATCCGCTGCGGAAACGAGAGCAGAACCAAAGCATCCCAGGCGTGCGGCCATAATAAGCATGTGTCCCGCTTACCGATTCGACGCCAGTGAACGCTCAGCTTTTAAGTGCCGCTCTCCAAATGCCCATTGCTGTTGCCCTTTTCGCTCCTTCCAGAAGATCAAAGCGAGCTGGTCTGACTGCCACTACCAGTGCCAGATCTGGCTGCCACTGCCAGCGCCAGATCTGGCTGCCACTGCCAGCGCCAGCTCTGGCTGCCACCGCCAGCGCCAAATCTGGCTGCCACTGCCAGCGCCAGATCTGGCTGCCACTGCCAGCGCCAGATCTGGTTGCCACCGCCAGCGCCAGATCTGGCTGCCACTGCCAGCGCCAGATCTCCGGGTATCTGCTGCTGTCACTTATCAACGCTGTTTCAATGCTTCTGGGCAGTCGGGCTCGGCGGCGTTTCGAAAACACGTCGCGTGAAATTGCTGCGCTCCTGCTAACATGCAGCAGCGGCCACCGGCTAAATCCCTGAACATTTTCTCCAACCCTTTCACTAACATACGTATATTGCCTGACCCACCCGCTCAACGCTCGCTCTTGCTCGATGCGCCTGCACTAGACAGCTTTACCGCAAGGTACACTGATTACTTTTCAGCATTCACCAGCGTCAATCACCTTCTTCTGCTGGTTAGAGTCGTTCTTGGGCAATCGTTCACAACGCGTAGTGGTGAACGGCAAGCGGTCTGACTGGATTTCAGTGCGATCTGGCGTCCCGGAAGGCAGCATCCTGGGACCGTTGCTGTTCGCCTGCTTTCTGGCTGATGCTTCTCACCAAATGTAGTGTGCCTTATGTGCGCTCATGATGTGAACATTTGTCACCGAATCGACAACGTAGCAGATTGTCCCACACTTCAGACGGATTTGGACCGCCTCTATGAAAACTGAAACTGGGAACTGAAACTGAACCACGCTAAGTGCAATACCATCTTATTCACCCTGCGCACGTCACCTGTTCACTACTCATACCCGCTAGACGGTCACCGCTTGGGTAGCTGCCAGCAGATTTGCGATCTTGTGCTCTTCCCGGAAACCAGATTCACTTTTGCCAATCACATATTTTAACTGTCTCAGAAGCAAACAGGATGCTGGGCCTTCTCGTGCGAAGCGTGCAAATGTCGTCGTGTCTTCTTCAAGCGCGGTTCAATCGCAAGGCTTTGCCTTCAATGCTCATGTGAGATCATTGATAGAGCACGGTAGCGTTATTTGGAGCGGTGCTGCCGTTTCCCATCTCGTCCCGTTTGAAAGACTACAATAACTGTTTCCCATGTGGTTGGGTTCGAGTAGCCAGTCCCGGTGTCCTCCACTGAATTATCTTCTGGCTTGCTTCGAAATAGCATCTATCAAGGCATGTTTTGCTCAGTCTGACATTTTATTTCCGTACAAAGTATATCGTCACAGGCTTGACTGCGCTCACTTGACATAATTGTTCGGTCTGGCTACACCTGTCCGGCGTTCTCGACACTCCGGCCTTTTCCACGAGTCATTTGCAAGGGTCAGCACCGTTAAAAATGGATTTGTCGCACGACTACCCAATGTCTGCAATATATATTTTTTGCAGCGCTGCCCCTCAACTGACTTTTTCCATCCAACAAAGTCATTCCGATCTTATTCGTTTATGTTTGCCGGCACATGTGGAACATTCTTAATATATATTTATTTTTTAAAAATTGGACTGCTACCGTAATTGGGCTTTTGCCTGTGGAATTCTGATAAACTAAATGAACAAATAAGCAAACAAATAAACTAAGTCATTCAAATATTAATTTGAAGTCAGTTTGTGCAGATTCTGTTAAATTCCTACATAATGAATCCTACAATTTTCGATCGTCGCTGTGGTTTGCACGGCTCCTCCCTTCCATCGCAGCGAATGACCGCACGGATGCCGAGTGAGGTGCTGACGTCGGCTGAGCGCGGCCACACGCGGCTGGGTGCGGCGCGTGCGTGGTGGCCGGTCGACTTCAAGCATTGTGTTGAGTGTTGTTCTAATACGAAATGTCATCGCTACAGTTCAAAAAGCTGCGTGTAACGCAAAACCATATGACACGATATGACAACCACTTGCCAGTTTAATGCCCATTTTGCCTATTGAATGCCTATTTTATGCCTTATTTTTTTAACCATCAGCATACAAATTCCAGAAATATTTGGCACTGTTAACAAAAAAACTCACCCACTATGCTTGTCGAGGACCACTGATCTGCTGAAAGGTCATGATATGAAGCACGCGTAGCGGTACATAATGCTGGCCTTCGGCTTTTGACCCGTGGGCGAGACGTTGTGGCCTGAAGGACGTACTCCCGTCGTACCTTGCTGATGCGTAATCATTAATGTTGCATTTGATTTTGGTGTCATAGTTCCAATAACTCATTTAAGGTTGCGCCGATATGGTGATATTGCAGATCTGCAAGTGGATTTCTCGAAATAGTTCTCTGGAAGTGGCGCTCCAGCGCTCTGACTCGCGTGCCGGGCGCGTCCGCCTGCGTGCCTCAGTATAACGAGATACAGGTTCCAGATGTGCGACCGGAGTTGTCTACAGTATGTATATATGCAAGCAGGCGTGAAGCTCACAAACTTGTGGTTGACAGGAGTGTGAAGAATATATCAACAAATACAAACTTACACTTAGAAATATGGGAGGGTAGACAGCAGTCAGATTACAGGAAGACATGGTCCGCGGGGTTGTCGGTATGTGAAGATCATTCTGTTGCCGTTATCGGTATGTGTGTTTGTTGTGAAAAAACGCTGGGCAAGTCTTACACCATATATTTTCTCACAAACAGGAAATGACTCTGAAGGCTTCTGCGCATGCAAACTGTGTTAGCCCTCCTTCGATGTTCCAAAAGCATCGCTGCATCTCAATCGGAAGTTGGGGTTACTGTTCTGTTCCAAGCTTTCCCAATAAGCATGATATGAATTGATAACGAGGCGGGCACGTGGTGTGGACCACAAAGGCTCGTGAAAAGTGATTCAGACCCTAAGAGAACACTTAGGAAACAATTTGGAGTGAAAGTCGACAAACTTTGTGATATATTCACGGCAAGTGCGGCGCAAAACGTTAAGGAGGGCGGGCTCAGGAGCAACGAGGCGCAGAAAAGCGAGTTTATATTTCTGAGGAGCCACAGAAAGCCTATACAACGCAAATAGCCAAGGCCATGCGTACCAACCAACAAAAAGCTAAACACGAGGTAGAGCAAGCTAACCCGTGTTCGTAGATTGTTAGGTACATTTGCGAGGAACATTATGCATAGAGATAAGACAGTACTAACATCCTTATTACTCGTAGAATAACTAGGAGAAAGGAGATGGAAATAATGATATTTCGACCGCATGCCTTTATCGAAACGAATATCAGTAGTAAATTTAATATTGCCTGCCGATCTCAATCGATTTTTCAGGTTTTTTCCTAACAGGGAGCCACAGTTTCGACATGTCACCAACATTCAGGGATTAAACGAGCAGCAATTGCCAGCCATTACGACGATTCAATATATATTCAACCAAGGATGGAAACGCCCGAGAAATACGTGTGCATGCGAACGAATTCAAGTAAACAGGCATCACGCATCACTCATCACTTGTGCATGCGAACGACATTAAAACAATAATCACATGCTCAAATCGGCCATGATGAGCCCTGCATGTTTGGGTCCGGTCGCCGACTTCTGACAAGAATGAATTCGCTTGTTTTCCGGTCTAGGTGTTCCTGTGCTCTGTGCATGATTTTGAGCTCTAAAAGGGGTAAAGGGTCAATACCTCTCTGGGTTTCAGCCGGAGTGCGTTCGGCAGAAATGGTCACCGA